AATTCCTCTGCCTGGAGACTTGTACTGAAATCATTTCTTTTACAACACAGCCTTTGTAGTCTTTAAATTGATCTCAGTTTAGCAACTGGATAGCATGGAAATTAAAACTGTGCAAAAGCATTTCAGATTACTAGTCATCATGGGTTGCCAAACACCCATCGCTAGAGAGCTGCTGTGTTAAAGCTTTTGCTTAAAATCATAGAATCCCTACAGTGTGGAAGTAGGCCCTTCGGCCCAACAAGTCTGCACTGACCCTGGGTGCATCCCACCCACACCCATCCCCCTATAACCCACCTAAGCTACACATCTCTGAACACTATGGCAATTTACCCTGGCCAATCCACCTAGCCTGCACATCTTTGGACTGTGAGAGGAAACCCACACAGACACAGGGAGAATGTGCAAACTCCACACAGATGGTCGCCTGAGGGTGGAATCGAACCTGGGTCCCTGGCACTGTGAGTCAGCAGTGCTAACCACTGAGCCACCATGTTACGTGTACAAAAGGATCCCTCACTCTGATTTGGGTGACTACTCAGTAACTTCACTGGAAGATGCACATTGGATGAGAGCAAAGGGTGGATGCAGATATCATCTTTGCAGTCAATTAACTTGATAACATTTACCAACAGACACCACATGCACCAAGAATGGACAGGGGTGAAGTATGTGAGAGTTGCTACACCTATAGCAATCAAGAAGAGTCTTCAGAGGTTTTCAGTACAGAAAAAAGGCCCTTCGGCCCCTCAAGTCTGTGCTGGTTAAAAACAAACACTAATTATTCTAATCCATTTTCCAGCACATAGTCCACTGCCTTGAATTCCTTAGAATCACAAGTGCACATCAAAATGCTTGTTAAAATGTTATGAGGGTTTCTGCCCTCTACCACCCTTTCAGGCAGTGAGTTCCAGATTCCCATCGCCCTCTGTGTGAAAAGGTTTTTCCTCATATCCCATAAATCTATGCATCCTCATCACTGATCCCTCCACCAAGGCGAACAGTTTCCTCTTGTCTACCCTGTCTATTCTCCCCATATTTTAATGCATCTTAGTCATGTCCCTCCTCTGCTCCAAGGAAATCAACCCTAGTCTATCCAGACTCTCTTCATTACTGAAACTCTCCAGCCCAGGCAACATCCTGGTAAACAAAAACAGAAATTGCTGGAAAAGCTCAGTAGGTCTGGCAGCATCTGTGAAGAGAAATCAGAGTTAACGTTTCTGAGGAAGGGTCACCGGACCTGAAATGTGAGCTCTGATTTCTCTTCACAGATGCTGCCAGACCTGCTGAGCTTCTCCAGCAATTTCTGTTCTTGTTTCTGATTTACAGCATCTGCAGTTCTTTCAGTTTTTAACATCCTGGTAAATCTCCTCTGCACCCTCTCCAGTGCAATCATATACCCCCTATAATGTGGATTCCAGAACGGCACACAATACTGTCACTGTGTCCTAACCAGCATTTTATACAGTTCCAGCATCACCTCCTCTGCTTTTAAACTATGCCTTGGTTAATAAAGAAATTAGAAGATAAATTAGAGAAAGCAAAAGCAAAAATTGTCAAAATAAAGATTTCAGACATATAGCTTCTTACTGAAGTGTGATCACATTTTCCCTGGGATCTCAAGCATTATAAGGCACTACAGAATTTAATGTCTACGAACAGGGTAAGAACATTTGACCATTAAGCGTCCCATTCTGGCAGGACCAACTTAATCGTTAAGGAATAACTACAGGTTTAAAAAAAAAGACAATGATGGAATTTATTAAAGATACTGGAAGGTAATGAAGTGAAAACGCACAGATCTATCTTCGCTGATGCCAACCCAATGACCTTGGAACTTCATTCTCATTGCAACTTCCCTGCAAGAGGGAAAGAAAAAGAACAAATCATTTTCACCTCTAAAGTTAGGACTTTCCTACCTCCCAAGCATACGAGCAATTCCCACTCAATGTTTATGATGAAGTCTTTAACGACGATTTGAAGTGTATTTTTTGTTTGCCTGCCTTTTCGTAGGATATGTGGAACACCGGCACCATCCCTCCCCTCTTCCTCTGCTACATTTCACCAGTTTCAAAATCTCCCCACCCCCGACGTCATCCCATGCCCAACCCCCCCTCTTATCCCCACCTCCTTGACCTAACACAACTTGTCCATCTTCTTCCCTATCTATCCACCCCACACTTCCTACTGACCAATCCCTACTACCCCCTACCTGCAATCACCTGTCACCATCCCACCTACCTTCCCCCAGCCCCACCCTCATAGAACATAGAACATAGAACATTACAGCGCAGTACAGGCCCTTCGGCCCTCGATGTTGTGTTGACCTGTGAAACCAATCTGAAGCCCATCTAACCTAAACTATTCCATTATCATCCATATGTTTATCCAATGACCATTTCAATGCCCTTAAAGTTGGCGAGTCCACTACTTTTGCAGGCAGGGCATTCCACGCCCTTACTACTCTCTGAGTAAAGAACCTACCTCTGACATCTGTCCTATAAGTATCACCCCTCAATTTAAAGCTATGTCCCCTCGTGCTAGCCACCACCATCCGAGGAAAAAGGCTTCCACTGTCCACCCTATCTAATCCTGTGATCATCTTGTATGTCTCTATTAAGTCACCTCTTAACCTTCTTCTCTCTAATGAAAACAGCCTCAAGTCCCTCAGCCTTTCCTCATAAGACCTTCCCTCCATACCAGGCAACATCCTAGTAAATCTCCTCTGCACCCTTTCCAATGCTTCCACATCCTTCCTATAATGCGGCGACCAGAACTGTACGCAATACTCCAAGTGCGGCTGCACTAGAGTTTTGTACTGCTCCTCCCGCTATTTATTTCTGAGCTCCCTTTCCCCTCCCTAGTCCTGACGAAGGGTCCTGACCTGAAACGTCGACTTTCCTGCTCCTCTGATGCTGCCTGCCCTGCTGTGTTCCTCCAGCTCCACACTGTGTTGACTCTGACTCCAGCATCGGCAGTTCTTGCTATCTCTGTATTTTGGTTTTGTTTTTATGCTCATTAAGTTGAAGGATGTTGGTGCTGAGAAGTGAAATATTGGAATGTGACTGCTGTCCAAAGATAGAGACGGTATGGTCTGGAGGATACTGGTGTTCCCTCCTTTAGCCCAATGCTGGTGCATCAACATTGGCAATTAGAATATTTAGGTGGTTGTTTTTGACTAGTGCAGACTTGATGGGTTGAAGGGCCTTTTTCAGTACTGTACACCTTTATGACGCAAACACTTTACCACTATCTACCCCAAAAACCTGGGCGTCTATCTGATATGTGATATTTGCAAATAATTAAGGACAGATTTGACCGGTGGAGTCCATGCAGATGAGTTGAGACTGTCTCAGCCCATTTCAGATAGAACCCCTGCAGATCACAGATAGTTCGGTCTGGGTTAAATTCAAACCAGATATCAAAGGCTATCATCCAGTCCCATACACTCCCTCATTAGACAGGTACTGTTGTCTTCCACAAGCAAGTAAATGGAATTTAAAATGCGAGACAATATTTTAAGGATTCCTCCAAACAATCCTGGAAATTGTCCATATATAGCAGCTAGGAATTTGGGAGCATTGGAACAGGAAGAGACCATTTAACTCCTCACCATTTACTTAAACATAACTCCAATTATCTGTCTTGTTCCAATAATCCTTAAAGCCCTCGCCAAACAAAAAAAATAGAAGAGATATTGCAGTTGTGTGAGCTCGCGATGCTGCGAATCTCCTTCACTAAACATATTATTTACTTTCATTTATCAGTAACTACAAATATTGGCATTACAAGGCTGGCACAACTATAAGATATTGCGTTACTCACATAGTAGGTAATGTCCCAGAGGATCATAAGGCTGCTCTCTCATTTGAGGAGAGATGATTGGTGGGTGGTTTAACCTTGGGGTGGGGTTGGGGCATCAGAATGCCTCAAGCGAGGGGTTAGATGGAGAAGGTGGGGCTTCCGTGGTGACCTCAGTTAGGGTGGAAATTGAACCTGTGTTGTTGTTGTCAGTCAGCATTGCAAACCAATCATCCAGCCAACTGAGCTAACCAACTTCATTTTATAACACCCTCCCTGGAAGTGGTGAGAATCTTTTCAAAAATTAATCTTTAAAAAATGATCCTTTCAGCTGGGCCATTGGTGTTTGAGAAGAGAGTGGGAACCTTTCTACAAGGCAGCTTAGACAAACAAGGAGGACCTCTGATAAGGGGATCCCTGCGTTAGGGAGAAAGGTGTAGAGAGAGATGTTTAACTGAAGTAAAGCAGGAGAAGGTTTGTATGGAACATAAAAACACGCACGGTCTAATTGGGTCAAATGGTCTGTAATTGTGCTGCAAATTTTATGTAGTTCTATCTATAGAAATTATGTACAGCAGCATGTTCTCAGTCATTAATCATCACTGGAGTTGCTTCCCTCATGATGTCATTACTAGTGTAACCTCTGCTATTTCCATACCCAATCACTGATCAAGGTGTAAACATTGCTCTGGTAGAAGTTTGCAGATCCATTTGTGGGCATTTGTCAGTGTTGTAAGTCGGTCCACAATCCTGATCTGTGTGCTCCCCATGTGTGGAGGAGTGAGGAGTTCAGAGGGTCGGCTGGGTCTCTTTTTGGGCCTGGCCTATGTGGACAGTAACAGGTCCAGGCGATGGGCTATTGAGAGGGTTAGAGTGCCTGACTGTCTGCAATTCTTATGTCTTGCATTCAAATGTGATTCGAGAGGGAGAGTGCAGTGCCCATTGGCACGATGGAGGCCTTTAGAGACCGATTGGCACCATGGGAGCTGGTATGCATCATCAACCCAGGCAACATTATTTTGATTTAGTAAGTTTCTGTTCACCTTTTCTAAACTTCTGATAAACCATTTAATTGCGTTTTTGTAACAGTGTCCCATCAGGGGCTGTTTAACCTAATTTTTAGGTTTGTGTTAAAAGAGTAGAAGCTGTGTACATTGGACACACTGTGGTCTGATAATAACACTCTCTCCTTCCTTCCTCAGTATGTCGAGGTGTCCTCTGTGGGTTTGGAGCTGTCTGTGAGAGAGATCCCAAAGAGCCAACTAAGGGAATGTGTGTCTGCAAGAAAAGTGTCTGCCCGTCTGTCATCGCCCCAGTTTGTGGATCCGATTATTCCACATACAGTAATGAGTGTGAGTTGGATATGGCCCAGTGCACACAGCAGCGAAGGATCAAGGTTATTAGCAAAGGACTTTGTGGTAAGTCTTAATATTAATTTGTGAAAATGACTGTGCTTTGATGTAATGAGAATACCCAGGCATCAAGTGGACCCTGACTGGAACAGGTGTTGCCACGGAGAATGCATCCATTAATACCGATTGACAGTTAGCAGCCAGGCTTTGTTTAAATTGTAGAACAGTCAGGTTGACTTTGATTGGTCAGAGCCCTGAGAAATGAACCACAGAATGGCTGACACCTATTTTGTTGAGTTGAAACAGGCTCAGTGTGTGTGTATGTTGTTTCTGTATGCAAAGAGCAGGGCCCCTGTGAATTAATATATGTAGCTCTCAATACATGCAAGCGTACCATCCTTAGTATCAATTAATCAATCACAAGCTGCTGGTGTTTGTATCCTTAGTATCCCTACAGTGTGGAAACAGGCCCTTCAGCCCAACACATCCACACCAACCCTCAGATGATCCCATCCAGAATCATCCCCCTATAACCCACCTAATCTACACATCCCTGGACACTACGGGCAATTTAGCACAGCCAATCCACCTAGCTTGTGCATCTTTTCGACTGTGGGAGGAAATCAGAGCACCCGAAGGAAACCCACACAGACACAGGGAGAACGTGCAAACTCCACACAGGCAGTCGCCCGAGGTTGGAATTGAACCCAGGCCCCTGGCGCTGTGAGGCAGCAGCGCTAACCACTGAGCCAAAGTGCCACCTGTATCATATAGGGAGCCTGACTGACAATCCTAAATTGGTTGTCAGCATAACTTCCACATTCAGGATGATCCAGCAAATGCTTTCCAATAGCAGAATCATGTCTAATCTTGAATCATAAAATCCCTACAGTGTGGAAGCCAGCCATTCAGACCATTTAATCCACACCGACCCTCTGATGAGCGTCCAAGCCAGACCCACCCTATCCCTGTAACCCTGCATGATCCACCTAACCTACACATCCCTGGGCACTATAGCCAGGGTGGTCTACCTAACCTGCACATCTTTGGACTGTGAGAGGAAACCAGAGCACCCAGAGGAAACCCACACAGACACAGGGAGAACGTGCAAACCCTGCATAGGCAGTCGCCTGAGGGTGGGATTGAACCCAGCTCCCTGGCATTGTGAGGCAGCAGTGCTAACCACTGAGCCACTGTGCTGTCCCAATGCTGGGCATTGTGCTGTGGGTTTCACAAGCTTGAGCTGTATGGGTACAGTCAGTACCATGTTTGTTGTGAACAGCTGGTGGAACATGCTGTTTGATACTGTCTGCCAGTCTTTAGGTCATACATTGTGTTTAAGACAAGAGCCTCTTCTCACTAGACGACTCCACCACACTAGATCAACTAGATCCTATCAGGGGAGATTCCTACGCTCGCAGTGAATCTATCATCTGGATCCTGCAAACCGAGTTTCTTCTGTTTGTCTGAACAAAGGAAGGAGACTTCAATTCACTGCTTCCCAGAATGCAGCACTGCCTTGTCCAGGCTCTGAACAGTCATTTTGGCTTACAGACTCAAGATCTGGAATGGGATTGAAACATGTAACCTACTGAGGTTCGGGGTAAACTCTTTCCCAGGCATGGTTGGTGGGAATCTGCCTGGGAGGGTAGTTGAGGCAGGAAACCTTAGAACCTTTTAAAAAGTACTTGGAAGAGCGCTTGAAATGTCATAACATTCAAGGATACGGGCCAACTGCTGGTAAGTGGATTTAGTGTAGATGGGTTGGCGCAAACTCAATGGGCCGAAGGGCCTTTTCAGTGCTGGATGACCCGGAGTTGCCTACTAAACACTAGGGGAGACTAAACTTATTATAGCTTTTAAAAGGAAAGTGGACACACCACAAACACCAGAGAAAAACCTGTTATGGGAGATTGAGAGTGGAGTGAAAGTAAGTGGATATCATTATGAAGTAGCCTGTAAAAGCATGATGGCCTGAATGGCCTGTCCCCATCACCGTGCATTGAAGTGTTCAAACAAGCATGATCGTATTGAATGAAGGGGCAGGCTCGATGGGCTGAATGGCCAACTCCTGTTCGTAGCTTCCTTTAATTAGGCTACCTATGAAGCCAGGTGACTCTAAGGGCCCATTGGAAATTAGGGAAATGTATACATTCAGAAGTGGAGAAAGACACAGCAAAGATTTCAGGAGGTACAACACAAGATACAGGGAGTCAGGCCAGACCAGTATTCAAGAGCCCACAGCCCTCTGGATGCAAGGGACGAGAAGGGATCATAAGACTGGGGTCCTAGCCCCTTGATTCCATATCCAATCAAACTGTTTGGATATTACACAGTTTGGCCCTTTTATCTTCTAAATAATCCAGAGGAGAAAACTGCAGCAGATAGAGCATTGATATTTAAAGACATGGTCAGTCTACCCACCCCATTTTGAGGCCATTCTGAATCCCTTTTTGCTTGATTTCGGCAGGTTAAAATGAAGCCTCCAGTCCCCTAATTCCTACTTGGCTTCTATTTCCATCTCTTGCATATTACCTTTGGGACATTTGAAATGCGAATATAAGTTGTTATTCTGTTGTTTTTTTAGCTTTGAGGACAGCTCACTAGTTCATTCTCTCTGCAGTGCAGTGGTACAGAGAACCTAATGATTCTTAAACAGAAAACAGAAATTGCTCACGAAACTCAGCAGGTCTGACAGCATCTACAGGAAGAAAGCAAAGTTAGCTACCGAAGGTTCTGATGACGCTAACTCTGTTTCCTTCCCACAGATGCTACCTGCTGAGTTTTCACCAACAATTTCTGCTTTTCTTTCAGATCTCCAGCATCCACAGTTCTTTGTTTTATTTCAGTGTAAGGATTCTTTATCTCTGTGATGTCGGTCTATCTTGGTTTAACAGTGATAGGAATGACGCAGTGAGCTACCAGGGGTTACGAAGGAGAAATCCATTGGGTTATGACTTGGGCGACCACAGGTTTAACTGTGAAACCACTCCCCCAGGCTGAGAAGATGGGGCTGGGGTAACCATTAAGCCCCTCGATCCTGTTGACGTCAATATAAATTCCATCGACACGCCTGATTCTGTATCTATAGTATACCAACCAGTGTTTTGAAATTTTCAATTTTGAACTCTTGATTCCCGAGTGAACTGTAACAGACCACGATCATCCAACTCGTGTACCCCTTTAATCATCCTAAATACCTCAGTCAGGCCACTGGGTTGCAATTTACAATCTTGAGTTGATTTATAAAGAATAACTGAATGGGGATGTGATAAAGGAAGGTAATTGACACCAATGGAACCGTATTGTCTCCCTCAAAGAGCCGATGGATGGGGAAATAGGTGAAAGAAATTGCTTATGCTGATAGCTCGTGTAAATGTTTTTGCTGAACCCAAACCTTGATTTGCTAACCAACCAAGTCACGAGATTTCTCCCCACCTTTGATGTGCTCTGGTGGCTCATCAAGAACCTGACAGGGAAGTAGAAGCTGCTGCCGTAGCCCCATTTTGCAAGAGTGTGTGGGGCTGCAGTCAGGCCCCAGTGTATTTTGTCGTCTCACAGGGCTGCCTGTAGCCAGTCCGTCCCCAGCTCGGAGAAACATTGGGCACATCCCTTCACCTTCATCTCAATAAGGAGCTGAATTAATATTCTACTCGTGTATCTGTGACACTGTTTCTTTGCTGTTATCTCGTTTCTTCTATCCAACATGTCCTGCTCTCAAAATGGGAACTTTAGCTGGTTGACGGATACTTTTCTCAATTATTTTAAAAATAAACTCTTTAGATGCTCCACGAACTAGTTCATTTTGCCTCTGCAGGACTTTTTTTTGTGTTTTCTGCATTAGGGCTGCAAAGTCTAGAAATATTAACAGGTATTGTGATATTGCTGTTAATGTTTCGGAATAGCAGCTAAAGTAATATTGTACATGAGTCTACATGGTTACCTGCAAATATTGTCAGGAGGAGGAGACTGTTCTCCTGATGTCCTAGCCAGCATTCTTGCTTCAGTGAACAACATCAAAAATAGATAAGCTAGCCATTTGTTCACTCACTGGTGTTTGCTGTGCAATGCCGTGCTTCCTTACTTATTAACAGTGACTGCAGTTCAGAAGTAACCCACTGACTGTGAAATGTTTGGGGACTTTGTGAGGATGTGCTAGAGTGTCGAGTGGAATTGTGAGTTAACCTTTTCTTTCCTCAGCTGTGACTACCTCATAATTTTGTGAGGCATCATGAGTTAGATGTAGAGTCATGCAGCACGGAAACAGACCCTTCAGGTCCAACTCGTCCACGCTGACCAGATATCCTAAATCAATCTAGTCCCATTTGCCAGCCATATCCCTTTAAACCCTTCCTATTCATGTATCCATCCAGATGCCTTTTAAATGTTATAATTGTAGCAGCCTCCACCGCTTCCTCTGGCAGCTCGTTCTATGCACGCACCATCCTCTTCATGAAAAAGTCGCACCTTAGGTCTTTTCCCTCTCACTTCAAACCTATCCCTTCTAGTTTTGGACTCCCCTACCCTGGGGAAAAGCTATTCACCCTATCCATGCCCCTCATGATTTTATAAGCCTCTATAAGGTCACCTCTCAGCTTCTGACACTCCAGGGAAAATAGCCCCAGCCTATTCAGTCTGTCCCTAAACCTCAAACCCTCCAACTCCGGCAATATCCTTGTAAATCTTTTCTGAATCCTTTCAAGTTTCACAACATCCTTCCTATAGCAGGGAGACCAGTACTGAATGCAGTACTCCAAAAGTGGCCCAACCAATGTCCTGTACAGCTGCAACATGACCTCCCAACTCCTATACTCAATGACCAATAAAGGCAAGTGTACTAAACACCTTCTTCACTCCCCTGTATACCTATGACTCCACTTTCAAGGAACTATGAACCTGCACCCCAAGGTCTCTTGTTCAGCAACATTCCCTAGGACCTTATCATTAAGTGTATAAGTCCTGCCCTGATTCTCTCTCAATAGTAACCACCAGATAGTGAGGGGATTCAATGATGGTAATACTATTGAACATTAAGGGGGTGATGGTTAGATGTTCTCTTAATGGTA